ACCCCCCCACCATGCTGCCCTCTGGGAAGAGGCTTCCCAGCATCAATGCAGGACCAGCAGGTTCTGCAGCAGCTTCTTCCCCACCGCCATCACACTGATGAATGTTTGGTAGAATGGGTTATTGTATTGTATTTTGTTATACTTATTATATTTTATAAAATAAAAACAAAAAATCTGAAATGTTAGAACCTTAAATATTATGTATTCTTTTCACTATTTTCAAGGTTGCGCTTTAAAAAAGAGATAAATTGTCTAGAGAGCCGTTCTTAACGAAATGTCTCTTTGTTTTATACTTCTGTAAACAAAATGACAACTAAGTCTGTCTAAAATCATATGCTGGTCGGTATAATGGCTTCATTCTCTGTATTTTTCACCTTTATTCCCATAATATTAAGACTTTATTCTCGTAATATTCCAAATTTATTTGCAGAAAAATGAAAATAAAAATCTGTAGCCTTTCCCAATATTCTGTTATTTATATATATGGGCTCTAATCATAATGGCGATCAGGAATGAAACCAGGTGAAACAGAAATATTGATCTGGATGGAGAATAATGAAAGACAAAACCTTTTCTTAATCTTAAATGCAAAATGTTTACATATTTTTTCCAATCTTGGTATAATTCCTGCTCTAAGTGAGTCGCTCTGTCGGCTAAAGGCACATTTTAGTGGCCCTGTACTCCAGTTAACGATTAATAAATTAGTTAACAATTATTTAAATAATCGATTAATATGATTAATTGTTTCATCCATAGATAAAATAATGAAATGTGCGACACAGAGTAACTACAGCCCAGATGTCCAGCTTGTTTAGTGAAGTTAATATTTTAAATGCTCAGTGTCAGTTCCTCTTATAGTTCCAGTGCTCATTTAAATACATTTATTTACCGTCCCTTTAATGTATTATTTATCATGATACAGAGAGCAGATTAGATAAAAAAATAAGAGTGGGTTTACCTCTGCACCATTCTATATCTTTAAAAAGAAAACACAGGATAAATCCATATATAACAGAAATAATTAGACTATATTTGGTTAAATATTTACCTTCTGTCTTAGTTGCTGGTAAGTTTAAATGCAAACCTTTTCAAAGTGGAAAAATCTATCTATCTATCTATCTATCTATCTATCTATCTATCTATCTATCTATCTATCTATCTATCTATCTATCTATCTATCTATCTATCTATCTATCTATCTATCTATCTATCTATCTATCTATCTATCTATCTATCTATCTATCTATCTATCTATCTATCTATCTATCTATCTATCTATCTATCTATCTATCTGCTAATGTTTGATCCTTCACGCTTTCCGTCGTTAATTCCGTGCCTAGAGGGCGGCCATCTTGGATCAGACCACAGGTCAGACAGCTGCTGTCAGAATGAACAGGAGGCTCCTTAGATCTGATTTTAATCACATGAATATATCACAATAATCTCTGATACGTCACAACCCCTTAAAATATCAAAACTAATTTTAAAATGACTTTCAGTTAGATCACACATATTTATTCAGATTAAAAATTATTTAAACTGAAGTCAAACTGAATGAGATTTATGCAGTTATATATTTTGCAATTAAATATTAATATGATAAACACAAAGTTTTATATTATTTTATAAGATTGGGTTTTACAAATATTATAAATTTATATAGTATATAATTATTTAATATTTGAAAGGATTGCTTTTTGATGAGTATTATGATCTGTAGAACATTTGTTGTACTGTGATTTACATGAGTTTTTTATTTTGTTTTTTTAATTAATTATATGTTAATTTTTTATTTATTGTCATTTTTTATTGTCAAGACTTTTTTTTGTCAAATCCCAGTTAATAGTAAATTTATGTTGCGTTTAACTAAAGGCTGTGTTTTTTTTATCATTATTTACTCTATTGTTACATAATTGTTTACATTTTCTCTTTAATCAGTTAATGTGTGTCGTATATATTTATATTTTAAAATTTGTTTTGGTCTTTTAAGTGACATCACTACCTAGAGCGTCCGCTGTGGCGTCTATGTATTTAATGTCTCTGTGTGTCTTCATCGTCCCTACAGAGACATGATGAGGACGATAATAGAAACTGTGTTTTTCTGTAGAGTTATCTATTAAAGAAGTTCATGGTTTTCAGGTAACATAGATGTTTATAAATCAGATCATCAATCAGTCTCTCTGTTCTGGAATTAACCGGTTTGTGGAAGAAAAGGATTAAAATGTTTGGGTTTCTGTTCGTTTGCTTGATTCTGATGCTTTCTGGAAACATTCGGAACCCAATGATGGAAAAAAGGATGATTAGGACCGAGGGTCACAGAAAGGTCACGGATCGCCGTTCATCCCATTACCTGAAAACTGGAACCAGTATAAACTTACAGACGTCAGCCTAAATCTGCAAGGTGAGCATTAGCATAAAAATGACTCTGTAGGAGCTGTAGAGATCCAAAGCTCAGGTGGGACAATCTATTAACAGTGACTCCTGGTCAGGAACGTCACATGCTGTAGCAGCCATTCAACATTTCCCCACTTTCCTCGATGGGACCTTGGCCGGTCGCCTACTATTCCTTTTGAAACATCAATCTTTGTACTAAAATGTTCTTTTTGTCATGATTTGGACATTAAGATCTAAAGAGAAGCGCCATCTGCTGGTCAGACCCTGTAATTCAGTGAGAGGCTGGAGTCAGAGTTAAAGGAATAGTACACCCAAAACATGATTAGCCTTCATTTTCTGCTCACCCCCATGCTGAAAAACACTCTGGAGTACTTTTTTGATATCTCAAATGCATCTGGAGATCTGAGAGGCTTCTTGCTGTCTGCTGACATTCAAATAATGGAGGTCTATGGCGCCCGAGACAGAAAGGTCCATAAAAGTCCACAAAAAACCTGTCAATATTCCTCCATACTGCTCGTCCAATGTATTCCAAGTGTCCTGAGTGGGTAGCGTCCAGAATTTACTCAAAACGAAGTCATTTAGAACGTTTTAGAGCCTAAACAGTAGTGTATAGGATTTCCTAATAGCGCCCCCATGCGCGCTCACGATTCTACGGAAGCCGGCAGACCAAACCGGAAGGAAGTGCGCATTCAGCGTCTGCTCTTCCAATAATGCAAGCGTAGAAGAAGAAATGTGCTGTTTACCTGTGCAAAGAAAGAAACAACGAAAGAAAAATGTCTGAGGACTTCAGTGTTGAGGAAGAGCATGAGTTCTTTGCCGAGCTGAATGCGCTGGTTTGGTCTGCCGGCTTCCGTAGAATCGTGAGCGCGCATGGGGGCGCTATTAGGAAATCCTATACACTACTGTTTAGGCTCTAAAACGTTCTAAATGACTTCGTTTCGAGTAAATTATGGGCGCTACCCACTCAGGACACTTGGATTACATTGGACGAGCAGTATGGAGGAATATTGACACGTTTTTATTGACTTTTGTGGACCTTTCTGTCTCGGGCGCCATAGACCTCCATTATTTGAATGTCAGCAGACAGCAAGAAGCCTCCCAGATCTCCAGATGCATTTGAGATATCAAAAAAGTACTCCAGAGTGTTGTTCAGCATGGGGGTGAGTAGAAAATGAAGGCTAATCATGTTTTGGGTGTACTATTCTTTTAAATAATAAGAACGCCCAGAAGGCCAGTGGCTGGAAGTTGGAGGGGATTTTGCCGCCATTTGGCTGGAGGGGCCTAGTCAAAGTCTGGATCTGAGCTGACAGAGACCCGTCAGCCTGAATGAACTAATCCTCCATCTTTCTCTAGTCCCAACCCCCCACATGAAGCTTCCTCATCCCTCCTTCATCTTCACATCCAGGGGGCGCTGTCTCACCCCCCATCCCCCATCTGAGCCTCGCCTGTGTTCTGACTCCCACTTTCCTCCCCTCTTCCCTGTGAAAGGCTGTTACACACAGCACTGCAGAGGCCTCCCCCTCCATAGCAACACTCAGCCAGGCAGGCTTTGGAGCGAGATCCTCTCCCTCCATTTTAGCTTCTCCATCCCACAGAAGTAGAGGATGTTTATTTTTCATAAATAGGATTCCAGTTTCCTCAGGATGACGCCTGAGAGAATCTGTCACCAAGACGCAAACATCGGTTTTATTTTACCTACAACCTGCTGCTGAGGAAACCTTCAACTTTTCTTTTTTTTCTTAGATGTCTGGGAATATTTTAAAGGAAAAGTCGCTCATATTCAGAATCCAAACTTCTAAAAGTTCTTTAAATCTGAAATGATTCCATCCTGTTCAATAAATGATCAGTGTTTTTAATTCAGAGTAATTTTCATGTGAATGTGCTTTACTGGGGGCATCCATGTTTGTCAAAGAACACTACTGCCACCTACTGGTTAGTGACATTGTCACGGTGCGGTATCGGCTGTTGATCAAGTCCCAGTGCTGTATCTGGTGTTTGTCACAACGCGCTATTATCCAAGTCATCTTGAAAACATTCTTCTTCCAAATGTTGGCTACATATTACGGGTTTTTTCTCTGGCCAGAAGTTCGATGGCAAATCCTCCCTCTTCAAGTTGGCGATCCAACGACCAACCCGTCCGTGGAGGATCAGGAATCAGAAAGGTGGAATAACTCTTTGTTTCACTTTTACCCGATGTATTCCAGCATCCAGCTGCCATGCACGTGGGCATTGTCAGTTTCACTATAGCTCTGGTGAATTTCAATGGTGAAGTCCTCTGGAAATCTTCAATAATTGTTGTTGATTGCAGATGTGTCTAGTAGTTCCCATTGATTTAGCTTGGAAAGCGGGGAGAATGGCGCTAGGCTTACCGCACCGTGACGTCACTGCTGGAAGATGGCAGGAGGGAGGGGCTACTATATTTGGGCAAAGACTCCCAGACTCAGTGATCACAATGAAAACTATTTTAATTTTTTTACTGATTATCATTAAATTCATTAAACATATTAGTTTTAGTTATAAACAATGACCCATTGATTATTCCTGCTGACTGAACTTCTCCTGTAAATAAACCACCATGTTCAGGAAATGAAGGAGACGAGGCAACATTCTGGCTCTGTGAAAATCACATTGACAGCACTTTATTTTTAATAAATGCTTGGGTGAAAAATAGAATGGAATAAAAACAGAAAGAGTCCAGAGAACACGGTGAACACAAACATCCGGGTTAGAGAAAACGAGCAGTTCAGTCAGAGAAGCAGAGATGGAGGAGAGGAGCCTTTATACCAAGAGAAACAAACCGGTTTGATCCAGTTTAGACAGAAAACCTTCTGATTATTTCTATAAATTGGACAAAAAACTAAGAGGCTTCAAACAATGAGAACCGAGATCCACAGAGCAACACCTAGAGGGGGGGAGCAGGGGGCTCCGCCGGACGCTGCCTGTTCAGAAGACTGTACAGATTTACATGAGCTCAGCGGCAACGCCGCCGCCACAGCAGGTCCATAACCCAGAGGGGTTCTCCTGGGGGGTTCTGTCTCTAGCATCACTGGATGGCTTTTGGTTGAGCTGGTCTGCAGTGGGAGGGGCCCCCGGGGTCAGGACTGCTGCTGGCCCAGCTGGGCTCCGTCTCTCTGGCTCCTCGCTGACGAAGGGACGAACTTGGGGATGATGATGGGTAGACGGTCCCTCCCTGAGCTCTCATTGGCGCTGAAGCCATTCTCTACATGCGCCCTCTCATCATCATCATCATCATCGTCGTCATCATCATCATCGTCGTCCTCGTCATCATCATCATCAGACATGTCATCCAGATCTGAAACCATCCTGACATCTGTCCTGGACTCCTGTCGCTCCGCTGTGACAGGAAGCTGCTGGTTGCCATAGATACGGGCCCCCTCCAGCGGCCCTTCATCGTCCTTCTGCCGCTCCTCTTCGTCGCTCTCAGAGTCGATGGCGATGGCCTCCGGAGGCGTCTTCAGAGCCGAGCTGCTGCTGATTGTCTCGCTGCGATCCTCCATGTCCGTCGGCAGACCCCCCAGCAGCGCCCTGCGCCTCCGTAGCGCCTCCTCCGATCTGCCCTTGCGTGTCCTGGAGGTGCGGCGCTCGCCGCCCCCTCCCTGGCAGGCCCCCGCCTGCTCGAGGTCCAGCTGGTGGCTGAGCTGGCTGAGCTGGTCCATGCTGAAGCCCAGGAGGACGCTGGGACGCTGGCTCTCACACTCCTCCTCACACCTCCTGCTGGTGGACAGGAAGTGGGCGGAGACGTCCGACTTCCACAGCCACAGACTGGATGCCAGCTTGTCCAGCTCCCGCTGGCTGGGGTACGGCACCCGGTTGAAATACTGGGTCAGGAAGGCCTTCCTGGAGTCGTGGGGCTTGGTTTCCTGCCCTTTAGGATCCAGAGCCAGAACCACGGCTTCATCTGGACCTTCATCTGCATCCGAGGGGCCGTTCATGTCGCGAGGGTGGGCCCGTTCTCCGGGCGGCCCGGGCCTCCGTCGCTTCGGCGCACTGGTGTCTGCGCTGTCGAAGGCGGGCCGTTTGAGGGCGGCGCTCTGAGGCGGGGTGGGTCTGGGCGGATGGGCGGCGCGGCTGTCCTGGCCGTTCTGAGACTTGCCCACGCCACGGCAGTGCACCAGGTGGAGCGTGATGGTGGAGGCCGTCATGTTGCTGGTGTACACCCCCAGGCAGTGAATGCACTTATAGGTCAGCTTCTTCTCCACGGGGTGGACGGTCTGGATCACCTGGTGCCGCTCCCTCAGATGGTGGGCCAGCGAGTCTGAGATGGGGCCCTTGAGGATGGAGAAGCAGAGAGGACACAGCGTCTTCCCCACGTCCCTCTTGTAGGGCACCGAGGCTGGAGAGGAGCTCTTGATGGGGGGGCCGTCGGCGAACCCTGACGGCGCTCTGGGCGCCGGCTGAGGCGTCTGCCTCTTTCCTGCCAACAGAGAGGCAGAAAGCGTGGCGGCGACGGACGAGGAGCTGTTCTGGGCGTGGAACGCCACCGACTCTTCCGGCGCGTCCCTCATGTTGTACGTAGTGACAATCAGCTGCACGTTTTTGGGGTTTCCCTGTTGCAGGGTGAGGTCAAAGGTCAGGGGGGAGTCTGTGCGCGGGCCCACCTTTTCTTCCGGGTGCGAGAGGCGCATGTGGGCGACCATCTTCTCCACGTCGTTGAAGGTGGCCCTGCAGTGGGGGCAGGACAGGCCGTGGATCAGCATGTGGTTGAGGAGCGTGTCGCTGGGAAGGTAGCGGTTGCAGTACAGACACTTGCTGGTGAAGTTGTGGATCTTCATGATGTAGTTGGCCACGGCAGGAACCTTCTCCGCCTTGTGCTCCTTCTCAAAGTGAGAGCTGTAGACGTTCTCGGGGAACAGCTCGTTGCAGATGGTGCAGATCTTCCACTTCTGGGTGTAGGATGTGCCGAGAACAGAGGAGCCGCCTTTCTTGGCCGTCACAGACGCTACGGTGGTGGCGGCCGCCTGCACCCGGGAACCCAGGGGGTTGGATCTGAGCGAGGACGAGCCTCCGACCCCCAGCGGGCTGCGCAGGCCGGTGGAGACCAGCTGCTTGGCTGCGTGCGAATGCTGCGGCACAGAGACCTGGGCGTTCCCCGGCAAGGCGGGCCGGGCCTGATGGTTACCCAGAGAGAAGGGCTGGACGCTCGCAGCCTTCAGACCCAGCGGGTCGGGCTTTAATCCGCTCAGGAAATGGTGGGAGTTAAAGCCGGCCTTGGCTGCGGCGGCAGCGGCGGCGGCGGCTCGGCTCAGCTGCTGAGAAGCAGGAGACCTGGGGTTGGCCATCACGGCTCCTTTGGGGCCCATGCCGATGATGGTTTTGTCTCCCTGAGCTTTGGGGGGGAACATGATGATGGGTTTGGGTCGAGGGACGATGACGCTGGTGTGGCCGATCATGGCGGTGACCTGGTAGCCGATGCGCTCGTGGTCCTCAATGACGTGCTGCACCAGCGCCTCGTAGGTCCGGGGAACAAACAAACACTTCTTGCAGTGGATCTGGCCGCTGCTGGCGGCGTGTGCGCCGCCGCCGTCGGCCGCGGCGCCGTTGTGGCTGTTGGCTTTCTCCGCCGGCCTGACGATGTACGGATGGGCCACCTGCTGGAAGTGTTCCCTGTAGATGTGCTTCCGCACCACGTTGTACAGAGGGTCCCGGTAGGTGCACTTCTTGCAGTAGTACACCGCCTGTTCAACGTTGTCCCCCGTCCTCTTCAGCAGCCCGTCCTTTGTGGTGACCCCAGGGGCCGCCGCCGCCACGCCGCTCCCCTGCCGCACGCTGTTGCTGGGCATGTGGAAGAGTTTGATGTGCATTTCCAGAGTCTTTTTGTTGCCGTTGAAGGTGCAGTAGGGGCAGTTGAGCAGGATGTTGTTCTCAAAGTCCTCGCTGTGGACGTTACGGAAGTGGCTCTTATATGCAGAGAAATATTTGGAGGAGAACAAGCAGCCAGAGCAGCAGAAAGGTTTGGATCGGTAGTCCTGGAGACAGAAGAAAACAGCATTAGTGGGTCAGAACCTGCAGGAGCCTTCATGCCTCCGTGCCTCCATGCCTACCTGGCCCTTGGTGTGGGACGGCTCCCACATGCACACATCCTCCCAGGTGGTGTGCTTGATGTAGACCTCAGGAGGGTTGAAGTCTTTATAGTCCTGATGAGAGGAGAGACATGGGTACCATTACACACTGAATCATTAAGCAGTCAATCAGATCAGATATGATGCTCCTCTTAAGGCCTGGTTACCCCCCCCCCAGCAGCGTGACGCAGGTAAGTTTGATTTATGTCCAGTATTGAAGCGTGGTCTGCGCTATGTTATTCCACGCCACAATGCCAGAGGGCCAATCAGGAACTAGCTGTGGGTCTAGATACGGCCGAGGCGGTGAGGAAGTGGGGGCAAGTTTGTGGGACAACGGAGGGACATGAGGGCCAAACAGAGCGGGGATCCAGGTGGAAAAAGGGTCCCAACGTTTGCACCTCGCTCTGCTAGCTGCTCCATCTTCAGTCGTTTTCCACAATGGAGGTCAGACAAACAGAACAAGCCGGTAAGAAACCAAACAGGAAATACGGATAGAGAACAGCGGATGTAGATCTGACCAATCAGAGGCCTCGTGGGCGGGGCATTGACTGTGACACACAAGCAGACAACCTGGTTTCTGAGTATAAATCAGCCTTAAGAGGCGATGGAGCGGCTGAAGGTCAGATCTAAAGCCTGGTTTATGCTCAGAGACCAGCTCGTCTGCTGCGTTAACGCAGACATGCCCCCACACTCCCAAAATGGTAGGTTATCACACACAGTGCTGCAGATAGCGTTGCAGGGAGGAGAAAGGAGGCCTCTGATTGGTCAGTTCTCCATCCGCTCTACTCTATGCGCATTTCCTGTTTGGTCCCTAATGGCAGAAGCTCTGGCTGTAGCTCCGCCCACAGCGCCTGGCTCACCTCGGACTCTATCCCAGACGCAGTGCAGGACGCTAGTTTGTAGCTCTGAGCGACGGTCTGTTGGTTGGAACCCGAAGCCAAAACACGCAGCGCCACGACTGGTCTTTGGGGAACGCTGACCGTGAACTGTGTGTCATCCGCCGTTGGATGAGGGGTTGTAGACGGCGAACAAGTTTATCAAACCGACATGGACGCCCTCTATCCTAGCTAGTTCCTGATTGGCCCTCTGGCGTGGAATAATACAGCTCAGACCCGCTTCAATATTGGGCAGAAATCAAAAATATCTGCATCATACCTGCGATAAGCTAACCGGGACGCACTGCTGCGGGACGATAACCAGCCGTTAACAGTAGAGGAATCAGAACGGGTTCGATGGAAGCAGCGTTTAGCAGATCTGAACGATGGTTCAGCTCCTGACCGCTGACTGTCAGGAGAACCGGACCGAGGGCTGACGGATCAGACCCGACACGCTGCAAAAACCATGACGAAATAAGTAAAAAAGTCTGTTTATCAACCCTGAATATGATTAATAAGATGATTTGCCAACAGATTGAATATATTTACATTTAAAATCAGATACTAGATGATATAAGAAATAAGACAATTATGGTTTTATTTTAAATGTAAATTTTCTTGTTTCATTGGAAAAGTTCCTCCTCAATTCAAGAAAAAATTCACTTATTTGAAGGAAATAATTACTTATTTAGATTTTTTGTAAGGCAGGACTCTGACATTTACAGGTGCTGGTCATAAAATTAGAATATCATGAAAAAGTAGATTGATTTCAGTAATTCCATTTAAAAAGTGAAACTTGTATATTATATTCATACATTACATACAAACTCATATATTTCAGATGTTTATTTTGTTTAATTTTGATGATTACAAATGACAACAAATGAAAATCTCAAATTCATCATATCAGAAAATTAGAATATTGTGAAAAGGTTCAAAATTGATGGCCCCTGGTGCCACACTCTAATCAGCTAATTAACTCAAACCACCTGCAAAAGCCTTTAAATGGTCTTTCAGTCTAGTTCTATAGGCTACACAATCATGGGGAAGACTGCTGACTTGACAGTTGTCCAAAAGACGACCATCGACACCTTGCACAAGGAGGGCAAGACACAAAAGGTCATCGCTAAAGAGGCTGGCTGTTCACAGAGCTCAGTGTCCAAGCACATTAATAGAGAGGCGAAGGGAAGGAAAAGATGTGGTCGAAAAAAGTGTACAAGCAAGAGAGATAACCGCACCCTGGAGAGGATTGTGAAACAAAACCCCTTCAAAAATGTGGGGGAGATTCACAAAGAGTGGACTGCAGCTGGAGTGAGTGCTTCAAGAACCACCACACACAGACGTATGAAAGACATGGGTTTCTGCTGTCGCATTCCTTGTGTCAAGCCACTCTTGAACCACAGACAGCGTCAGAAGCGTCTTGCCTGGGCTAAAGAGAAACAGGACTGGACTGCTGGTGAGTGGTCCAAAGTCATGTTCTCTGATGAAAGTAAATTTTGCATTTCCTTTGGAAATCAAGGTCCCAGAGTCTGGAGGAAAAGAAGAGAGGCACTTCATCCACGTTGCTTGAAGTCCAGTGTAAAGTTTCCACAGTCAGTGATGGTTTGGGGTGCCATGTCATCTGCTGGTGTTGGTCCATTGTGTTTTCTGAGGTCCAGGGTCAACGCAGCCACATACCAGGAAGTTTTAGAGCACTTCATGCTTCCTGCAGCTGACCAACTTTTTGGAGATGCAGATTTCATTTTCCAACAGGACTTGGCACCTGCACACAGTGCCAAAGCTACCAGTACCTGGTTGAAGGACCATGGTATCCCTGTTCTTAATTGGCCAGCAAACTCTCCTGACCTTAACCCCATAGAAAATCTATGGGGTATTGTGAAGAAGAAGATGCAATACACCAGACCCAACAATTCAGAAGAGCTAAAAGCCACTATTAGAGCAACCTGGGCTATCATAACACCTGAGCAGTGCCACAGACTGATCGACTCCATGCCACGCCGCATTGCTGCAGTAATACAGGCCAAAGGAGGCCCAACTAAATACTGAGTGCTGTACATGCTCATACTTTTCATGTTCATACTTTTCAGTTGGCCAACATTTCTATAAATCCTTTGTTTTTATTGGTCTTCAGTAATATTCTAATTTTCTGATATGATGAATTTGAGATTTTCATTTGTTGTCATTTGTAATCATCAAAATTAAACAAAATAAACATCTGAAATATATGAGTTTGTATGTAATGTATGAATATAATATACAAGTTTCACTTTTTAAATGGAATTACTGAAATCAATCTACTTTTTCATGATATTCTAATTTTATGACCAGCACCTGTACAGAGTTCACAGCTGCTCCCCGTTCAGAACCAGAACCAGAACCAGGACCAGGACTGAGCCCAGGTCCAGATGCAGACGGTGGGTTTTAGGTCCTGCAGCATAATCTCTCTCTGAACTGAATCGTTCTGTCACAGCTCTGGACATTTATCTGGAGGATGAACTCTGCCCCGCTGAGGTTTTAAATTCCCACAGCATGATGCTGCGGCCTCCATGTTTCACCATTGGGAGGGATTGCATCGGTTCTGATCCGATAGGATCAGTGGGACCATCGTCGTTCCCACTGAAGCAGCTGATCTGTCAACAGATCAGGACTTTCCAGGGCAGCTAGGCTTGAATGACACATGGATGTGATGCATCTCCTAACCCCGGCTGTGGGGTTTTATTTAGTGGTGTCTGAGTAAAGGGGCAGAACAGCTGAGTTGACCTGCTGTCTGGTTTAGAGTCACATTCTGGCTTCAATGTGACGTTTTTTCAAGAAAATAAAAATCCTTCCGGTTTAGTTTGGCTGAAGAATCATTGAATGCAGAGAGCATCTTTTTCACTGGGCTGGTGAAGCATCAGGAGAACAGAGTCCTGATGGGAGGGCAGCGTGCTGAGCGCCCACCTGTAGGTGATCTTTGCAGAACTCCAGGCCGATATCTCCCAGGACCTTCTTGACATTTTTCCTGGCTTTCCGTAGGCTGGTGAGGTTGTTGACAGGGAGCTGGAACATTCTGCCCACCTGGACACAGAGAGAGAGCCAAACATCAGGCCGTTACCAGGTGGACGGATCAGTCTGCACAGGCGGATGGAAAAAACACATTTGCTTTGGTTAAACTGATGTGCAACATTTAGCGGCACGATTCCACATTTACAGCGAGGAGAATCTGGAATAATTACAGAGAACCAGAGACAAAGACTGAACCCAGACACAGATTAGGGCCCATGGCTCCCAGTCTAACCTCAAACCCAATCCAGCTGGTCTGATGCAGAGGTCATAGGTCATCTGGAAAAGTCCGATAAAGCTGAGCTCTAATAAGAAGAAATTCAAGAGGAGAACGGCTGATTCTACTGATTAAGGTGATGGAAAAAGGCCTTCCAACCTCAGTGATGCTAAAAACCAGCAGTGGACAGATGTGGTCAGTCAGTCAGGATGCAGCCGACTCTCATTTGGACCCGTCTGTCATCAGCGCCAGTTTAAGACCATAAACAACATTTAATGTTCTGATTCTACTTGAAAACATTCAGTCAAACCTGTGAAACACTAGGGCTGCAACTAACGATTATTTTAAAAATCGATGAATCGGCCGATTATTTTTTCGATTAATCGATGAATCGGACAAAAATTTTTTTTATATTAACCTCTTTATTCCAAAATAAACATTTTAGACAGAACAAACAAGCACACCAGTACAGGTTGCTCATTAACTGTACTGGTGCAATATGAAAAATAAATGTTTGTGTTAAAACTACGCAAACTTACATGAGAAATGTAGCTGAACATCCACTAAATATAGGCTACTTTGTTTCATAAAGTGCAAAAAAAGACATTTTTGTTTTTAAAGCCCCTAAGGGGTTCAAACAATAGGCCCCCCCATTTCAACAAATGAGGTTTTTTTAGACTAGAAGAGTTCTGCCTTTTAAGACAGGAAAGTATAGCAGTTAAAGTTGCTACTTGAGAAAATACTGAACCATAGAGATAAAAATAGCCCTGTGATTCAAATTATAAATTGTATTTGGAATAAAAATGAGAGAACTAGGGGTGCTAAAAAACACATCCTCCAAAGACAGATATTTACATGGGAATGTGGCAGATAATTAATTGACATATTACTGATCTTGCTGGATTTTATTCTGCTTTACTTCCATAAATTGCAGGATCTTCTTTACTTTATCTTTGCCAGAAGATTTAAACTTTAAAAGCCTTGCCCTCATAATTTGCAAGTTAATTTATTTATAAAGTAAATATAAACGCTGCTTAAGCTAATTCAAATGAAATTAAAAGTAAAATAAGTAGCCAACCTTATCACTGTCTGTAACCTACTAACACGGTAAGGAAAGCATCAGATGAGCTACCTGAGAAACTAACGTTACGTTTCCCCACTTTAAAACCAAACAAACATGGCCGCTCACCCTGCTGATCAGCTCTCTTCACTGCCACTGAAGGCTCCAACGTGTTTTCTTTTCAGGTGCTGCATCATAACAGTGGTGCTTCCACGCCATGTTCATTTGTTTTTACAAAAGTTGCATGTTACGACTTTTTTCGCTTTACAAAGCCAAATTATTGTGATCAATTTGCGCCGTCAATCCCGGCGCATGCGCGCTTCATTTGCAGTCTGGACGCTGAGGGGAAACTCCTCATTAAAATCCTGCGGCTCTGACTGCCGCGCTGAGAGGGATTCCTGTGGGAGAGGGAGAAAGGCGTTGGGATGGGGGAGGCGCCCCACGGCAGGCAAAAGCCGCCAGTGACACCGTAAAAAGTCGCCAGATTTGTCGCTAGTCGCTTTTTTGAAAAATAGTCGCTGGAGGGGTCTGAAAAGTCGCTGAGTTGGAAACACTGCAACTGCGGCGCTGACTCGCTCCGCCATATTTTTTTTTCTTCCCCCGGATGACGGCGGCGGCGGATGACGCATTAATCGCGCGACACAACTAATCGATGATTAAATTCGTTGCCAACGCTTTTAAAAGTCGATTTTTATCGATTCGTTGTTGCAGCCCTATGAAACAGTAAAAACTGATTTTAACACCATGTGGGGAAACTTCAGAGCAGGTTTCACATCAAGCAACTGAATGATCAGTTAAGCCCTTAATTAAAGATTATATATTATACCGTTTATTTAAATAAAACTTGATCCTGCAAGTTTTGATTATGTTAGACTATGTTCACCAAGCAGCATGAAGAGACCATATGTGATCTTTTCTAATGTGACCCACGTCTGAGCAGCCAGTCGCATTCATCCGACCTGAACGCCATTAATTCTAAAAGGCCGGGGGGGGGTATTTACCGTTAAGTAATACTAGGTGTCTCAGCCCCCCCCCTTCAGTGTCCACCATATTGGATCAGTCCATTTGCTGCACATGTTCAGAAAGGTCCAAACAGACAGCAGCAAACCATTTGAAAACAAACCATGCAAAGAGCAGTGTTGCCAACTTAGCGCTTTAGTCGCTATATTTAGCCACTTTTCAGACCCCTCTAGCACTTTGATTTCTAAAAAGCTCCTAGCGCCAAATCTAGACACTTTTTTCTGCTACTGGAGACTTTGGAGACAACATCTAAAAGCAGCGAACTCTGCTCTCCAGAGCGAGTAGATTGGTAACCCCGCCTCCTGCTCTCCTCTATCTTGTCTGCTGTCATGATTCATGCAGCTATTATTTCATCCAAATGAAAAATGGAGAACAGAGAAGCAGATCATGGCTTGTCTACAGTGAAAAGAAGGACTGGGTTATTTACTTTGGCCTTTTTGGAAACACAGGAAGGAGCAATCAGCTAAGTGAGCTTAGTGCTTGGAAAAAATCTTTCATTCCTTTAGAGACAGCATGAAAAGTCAGCTGAGTACAAAACAGAGAGGAAAACAAGAAGAAAAGGGACAAGAAGAGAGGGACACAACCTAGAACAGATAATGGATGTCTATTCTATTAACATTTCTCTATCTGGAGAATGGGGCTGTTCTATGTGTTGTCTTTTCAGATCAGAGGGGCCCCTGCCTGTCTTTGCCTTGGGCCCCATATTTTCTAGATCCAGCCCTGAACAAAGGTCACTATTCTGCGTCTTGCTATGCAGGAGCGGGAAGAAAAACAGCAACAATGATGGCCGATGATGCAGAGAGCGGTCTTTTTTTCTAACCATCTTGAAAAGATGGAGTTTTAAATGTCGGGGAAATGACTAGCTGCTCTCCAGCTCTACGGTCCAGGTTTACTTCCGGAGACACTGGCTTATGACATCACTGCGTCCTCTACTGCGCATGCAGGACATTCGCTTTGTTTGAAGGCAGTTCACACAGGAGATCAATTAGAAGTCGCATACATGTGGAAATCTGAACGGCAACTCAAAAAAAAGAAAAAAAAAGAAAAGGGAATTGAGCATCAAGGCCTGCAGTGTGAACGTAGCCATAGAAACAAACTCTGGACAGAAACTCCGTTATCCTCCTTGGTAATAAGGACACCTGTGGGTACCACCTGGTGTTCTGTCAGCCCAGCATACCTATGGTCTATACTAGGGGTGGAACGGTTCACAAAATCCACGGTTCGGTTCGATTCACGGTTTCTGGTCACGGTTTTCGGTTCGGTTCGATACATGTTGATTGTTTCCCCAAAATCCCATAAAAATTTATGAAATTAATGAAAAAAATCCCCCAAAAATAATGGATTGTAATTATTTTAAATGATCTGCGGAAACTCTGGATCATTTCTGCATGTTTTGCTGCTTTGAATTGAACCATCTGGCGCATGCTCTCTACCATCTCCAAGGAACTCAGAGCGGACGGGAGCCACAGTGGAGGCTGTAGGCTTTGCTTTGAGCAGCCGGTCTGGAGCGCAGCGGGGCGGAGCGCTGATGGAGTATGAGGGATTTCGGGGTTAGCATGACATGTTGGTCGTGTTGCTGTTAGCGTAAACAAAACGTGTTGCACAATGCTTGCACACTGTTGCACTTTTATCCCCAGCTTTCTTTCCGCCGTCATCGTAGGTCACTCTAAATGCAAAGTGGTCCCATACAGCAGACCTATAAAGTGCTGCTGGCGCGTCTTCCAACTCCTGTTCTTTCCCACTCGCCATACCCACACAATTCTCCACAACAACTGATTTTTTCTGCTACACCCGGCTACGCTGCTTCGCTTCTTCTTCTTCTTGTTTACTACTGGTGGTTGGCTTTGGTCGAAGTACCGCCACCTTCTGCTCTGGAGTGGAAACGCTTCGCCTATGAGAAAAAGGAGCAGCGCATGAACCGAACGCAACACACGCGAACCGAACCGAGACAGTAGAACCCAACGGTTCTGATGGTTTTCATAAACCGTTCCATCCCTAGTCTATACGCAGCGCAAGACATCAGATTGGCGTTTTTATCCCTTTAGTTTGTACAAAAAATAGACTTTAAATTACTTCTACGAGCGTGCATCCTTTCAGTCACGTACTTGTTTTTTTTATATATGACTAAAAGGAATCCATGCCCATCGAGGTAGTTTAAGGTCTATTTTCTGTACAAGACTAAAGGCATAAAGGGCTATTGGCTATGCTGCTCTGACGGGGTACGCTGCTCTGACGGGGTACGCTGCTCTGACGGGGTACGCTGCTCTGACGGGGTACGCTGCTCTGACGGGGTACGCTGCTCTGACGGGGTACGCTGGTCTGACGGGGTACGCTGCTCTGACATGGTACGCTGCTCTGACGGGGTACGCTGGTCTGACGGGGTACGGTGGTCTGACGGGGTACGCTGGTCTGACGGGGTACGCTGGTCTGACGGGGTACGCTGGTCTGACGGGGTATGCTGGTCTGATGGGGTATGCTGGTCTGATGGGGTACGCTGCTCTGACGGGGTACGCTGGTCTGACGGGGTACGCTGCTCTGACGGGGTACGCTGGTCTGACGGGGTACGCTGCTCTGACGGGGTACGCTGGTCTGACGGGGTACGCTGCTCTGACGGGGTACGCTGGTCTGACGGGGTACGCTGCTCTGACGGGGTACGCTGCTCTGACGGGGTACGCTGCTCTGACGGGGTACGCTGCTCTGACGGGGTACGCTGGTCTGACGGGGTACGCTGCTCTGACGGCTGCTCTGACGGGGTACGCTGGTCTGACGGGGTACGCTGCTCTGACGGGGTACGCTGCTCTGACGGGGTACGCTGCTCTGACGGGGTACGCTGCTCTGACGGGGTACGCTGGTCTGACGGGGTACGCTGCTCTGACGGGGGTACGCTGGTCTGACGGGGTACGCTGGTCTGACGGGGTACGCTGGTCTGACGGGGTACGCTGGTCTGACGGGGTACGCTGCTCTGACGGGGTACGCTGCTCTGACGGGGTACGCTGCTCTGACGGGGTACGCTGCTCTGACGGGGTACGCTGCTCTGACGGGGTACGCTGGTCTGACGGGGTACGCTGGTCTGACGGGGTACGCTGGTCTGACGGGGTACGCTGGTCTGACGGGGTACGCTGGTCTGACGGGGTACGCTGCTCTGACGGGGTACGCTGCTCTGACGGGGTACGCTGCTCTGACGGGGTACGCTGCTCTGAAGGGGTACGCTGGTCTGACGGGGTACGCTGCTCTGAAGGGGTACGCTGGTCTGACGGGGTATGCTGCTCTGACGGGGTATGCTGCTCTGACGGGGTATGCTGCTCTGACGGGGTACGCCCATCGGTTCTGTTCCCCACAGAAGCAGCAGGTCACCATGCGAGTGAGACCTGGGCCGTCCTGGGAGACGCTCAGAGATCCTACTTTATATCATCATCATGAGGAGAACCTGAGACTCAGTGGAGCAAAGAACCACGAGGGTTAAATGATCAGGTCATCAGTGAGGTTCCAGAAGCGTCTCCTGGAAACAGAACAATCTGCAGCGGTGAAAAACTTTCCCCTCAAACATTAGGCTGCTTCTTTCAGCGGTTCTACTCTGCGTCAAACTGACCATGTCGTTGCGTTCATTTGTTGCGTTCATTTGTTGCAATGATCAGATGTTTACACCTGATGAATGAGAACGGCAGCAGTTGGTGTTTCAGTTAGAGACGCCTCCGAACCATAAATCACAGCTTCACCTTCGTTAATGAATCTACTTTCACCGTTTTATCGGTAAAAAGTTCAGTTCAGGTCCCTCATCCAGCGCTGGCTTTGCTTCACAAGTCAACACGATATGTGACCAGGGGTCAAAGGTCACCATTCACAATGACAAATCAACATGAAGCTGAGCACCAACAGTGAACAGGTAACCAGGACCTGCAGCCGCCTCCCCATCCTGCCTTATTCCTCCTCCGCTCCTCCTTGAATGTTAGGAGGCGCTGCAGAGGACTCCTCCTTCCACGTTAGGAGGCGCTGCAGAGGACTCCTCCTTCCACGTTAGGAGGCGCTGCAGAGGACTCCTCTTATGTAAGCAGCCGACTCTCCTCTGGCCTCTTTTCCTCCCTTCCTGGCGATGCCATCACAGAATGGCGCCTCCTATTGAGGAACCAGCAGCCCCTACAATATGTCTGCAGCAAGGGGGAGGGAGGGAGACTGGAGAGGGGGAGGGAGGGAGAGTGGAGAGGGGGAGGGCATGTGTGAGAGAGGACGAGGAAGAGGAGGGGGAGTCGGTGCAAGAGAGTGGAAGGAGTGCAATGGGAGAGAGGAGAGGAAGGGGGGGTGAGGGGTGAGACAGGGAGGTCAGGCAGAGAGGAAGGGAGGGTGGAGAGAGAAAATGGAAGAGGGTGAGAGAAAGAGGGGCAGCTGGGGGGGAGGAAACACTGGGGGGGGAACAGGCTTCCTGTTCTGCAGTCCATCCCCTCAGGCTGGGATCTCCAGGATCCTCAGAACCTGAGCAGGTTCCTCCTCATGGCTGAACACCTGGACAAAGGTGAGAGACTCTGGGCTGCTGGTGAAAACATCATCATCATCATCTTCCTCCGCCAGGTGTGAGCAGCCCTGATGTCACCTGAACCTTCCTGATCCTTAATAAAACAATAAAAGCAGTTTGAATGGATGCAGCCTGAACCATTGAATCCATGTTGGTTTAGAAACATCTGCTTGGATCGAGCTGCTGACAAAGAACAGGAGGGGGGGGGGGGGCACCGCGCTCAGCTAGCATGCTAAGCTAGCTCCAAACTAACTGCCCCCCCCCCCCCTACCGGGGTCCCACCGACACCTTCAGCACCTCAGCACCGCAGGTAGAGCACCGTTAGCGGCCACATGACATGTCTCCGGTACTCTGGCCCTCAGCTTTACCTGCTTTCACATCCAGGAGTCCCGTGTGAGCGAACCGAGCCCCCCTCCCGCACAGCTGGATCCTCCCTGCTGCCTTCTGGCCGTCGGTCTGCCCCCGCCCTCCCCTCCGAAGCCCGGCGGTCCCTCACCGACAGCGGCTCTCCTCTGGCTGGAGGGCGGAAACGGAGAGAGGCTCAGCGGGCAGCTAGCTGGGCCGCTCCCCGGAGCGCTGAGGGCGGATCCATGTCAGCTGCCGTCCCGGTGAAAAAGAAAGCAGCTAATAGTTCCTGTAGAGACGGAACAGCTTCTCCTCTGACAGACAATACAGCCAGCCGCAAACTGCCCAATCCAAAATGGCGCAAATAAAAGAAGCGGAAGTGACGTCTGCCTTATTAGCATAAATGATCTGACTGTAAGATCCAGCTAAGCTGCTAGCATCAAAACTTCTGATTGATCCCAAAGAAGCAAACAGCTGTTGAAACAGTCCTCTTCCTGTCTGACTGTTTTTATTTTTCTGTCTGTTTATGGATAAACAACCACCGCAGCAGCTACCGGAGCTCTCCGACAGGGGGCGTCAGCTCCTCGCTCAGAACCAGTTCTAACTGGGACACCGCTAGATGGCGCCAGATGGCAGTTAGTGGAGACCGGGCAGCTTTACTGGGATTGGTTTATGGAGCGCCGTTTGTGACGTCAGGAGCAATAATGATATTTAACTTGTTTTAAGAGAAAAATTAGGGGTTTATTTTCTTTGAAGTCGTTTTTTCACTGTCATTCATTTATAAAAATCCTACTTTGTTAAATACATATTTAGTTTGGTGCTAAACATTTTTAGAAAAAAAACAAAATATTTAATTTATAAACTAAACATTTCATTTGGAGCTAAATATTTATTTAAAAATCTAAATATTAAATTTGTAAAATAAATATTTAGTTTGGAACTTAATATTTTCTAACAAACAAAGTATTTATTTACAAAATAACTATTTTGCTCCAAACTAAATATCTAGTTAGATAAATATTGATAGTTTGGAGCTAAATCTTTATCTAACAAGCAAAGTATTTATTTGCAAACTAAATATTTAGCTCCAAACTACATATTTATTTAACAAAGTAAGATTTTTATAAAATAATGAATGACATCGTGAAAAAATGACTTGGAAATACTAACCTCCTTATTTTTCTCTTAAAATGTGCTAAACAACCGTAAATATTGCTGCTAATTTTTGTCTGCTTAAATAGCCCCATATATGTTAGTCCCCCAATAGGGAAGCTGTAGCCCAGATGCACCACAGCCAAACGAAGAAGAATTGTTATAAACATATATCAGTGATCTTTATAATAAAACTGTCTCCTTTTTCTTTCTTTGTTTGGAGTCACGTCCATCTTAAGCGTGTTGAAACACCAGCTCTGCAGTCGTGTTTCTGTAAATTTCAGCAAATCCACAAACTGCAACAAATGTAAAGGAAGGATTAGAAAACTGAATGGATGAATGGATGAAAAGATGGACTGTTGATGAATGGATGCATGAAGCATTAGACGGGTGAATAAAGGATGGACAGTTGGGGAAGTCAGATGAATGGATAGATGGAGGGTGGGCAGTGGGGGGGGCAGACAGGCATGTAGATGGACAGAATGATTCAGGTACGTCTCTCAGAAGGAAAGTTTCATCCATTTCAAACCGTCAAAGTCATGAAATATGCAGGAGAATATTAACATGGCTTAATATCATAACCGTTCTGATGGCATTTTATCAAAAACATGATTAATGTGCACAAATAAGGAATAGTTGTATTAACCATACATGGAAACAGAGTTTTATGGGGCCCCCAGGAACTTGTATATATTGTTAAAACACTTTACGGTATTTTATTGTTTATCTTTTAACTCTTTACTATCATGTTATTCTTATACATTTTTCTAATTTATGTGACCATCTTTTAAAATAATCTTTTTGCTGCTGTAAACACCAGAGTTTCCCCGCTGAGGGACGATGAACAGATTTTCTTTCTATTCTGTCGTTCTTTATGACACCAGCATCTTTGTCATTAGGAAGCCTGCAGCGCTCCAGAGCAGGGTTCCTCACGGCCCGCTGTCCTCCACCTTTCAGAAGCGTCTCGGCTTCCATGTCTCAGTCAAATGGCGGAAGGACCTGATGACCCTGATTGGCTCAGGTGTGTTGAAGCAGAGATACTTTTAAAAGTTGCAGTACAGCAGACCTCCATGACCCCATAAAGTCCTGGCAGTTGTTGAACTTCAGGAACCGCAGGAGACCAACTAGATAGCACGGCGTCCCACATCATCACTGCTGGTGGAACGTCAATCCTTTCCTGGAAGACATTGGTAGCCGAATGCAAACTTTCCCTTTATGCAAAAGGACTTTGGACAACAGAGCAACCTTCTTCTGGTTTGTCTCCTTAGCCCAGATATGACGCCCGTACATGGGGTTGCTCTGTGTGAGGTTGCTCTGTGTGAGGTTGCTCTGTGGAAGGTTGCTCTGTGAGAGGTTGCTCTGTGTGAGGTTGCTCTGTGGGAGGTTGCTCTGTGGAAGGTTGCTCTGTGAGAGGTTGCTCTGTGTGAGGTTGCTCTGTGGGAGGTTGCTCTGTGTGAGGTTGCTCTGTGTGAGGTTGCTCTGTGTGAGGTTGCTCTGTGGGAGGTTGCTCTGTGTGAGGTTGCTCTGTGTGAGGTTGCTCTGTGGGAGGTTGCTCTGTGGAAGGTTGCTCTGTGGGAGGTTGCTCTGTGTGAGGTTGCTCTGTGTGAGGTTGCTCTGTGGGAGGTTGCTCTGTGTGAGGTTGCTCTGTGTGAGGTTGCTCTGTGGAAGGTTGCTCTGTGGGAGGTTGCTCTGTGTGAGGTTGCTCTGTGTGAGGTTGCTCTGTGGGAGGTTGCTCTGTGGAAGGTTGCTCTGTGAGAGGTTGCTCTGTGTGAGGTTGCTCTGTGGGAGGTTGCTCTGTGGAAGGTTGCTCTGTGAGAGGTTGCTCTGTGTGAGGTTGCTCTGTGGGAGGTTGCTCTGTGGGAGGTTGCTCTGTGTGAGGTTGCTCTGTGTGAGGTTGCTCTGTGGGAGGTTGCTGTGTGTGAGGTTGCTGTGTGTGAGGTTGCTGTGTGTGAGGTTGCTCTGTGGGAGGTTGCTCTGTGTGAGGTTGCTCTGTGTGAGGTTGCTCTGTGGGAGGTTGCTCTGTGGGAGGTTGCTCTGTGTGAGGTTGCTGTGTGTGAGGTTGCTGTGTGTGAGGTTGCTCTGTGTGAGGTTGCTCTGTGGGAGGTTGCTGTGTGTGAGGTTGCTGTGTGTGAGGTTGCTGTGTGTGAGGTTGCTCTGTGGGAGGTTGCTCTGTGTGAGGTTGCTCTGTGTGAGGTTGCTCTGTGGGAGGTTGTTCTGTGTGAGGTTGCTCTGTGGGAGGTTGCTCTGTGGGAGGTTGCTCTGTGTGAGGTTGCTCTGTGTGGGGTTGCTCTGTGTGAGGTTGCTCTGTGTGAGGTTGCTCTGTGGGAGGTTGCTCTGTGTGAGGTTGCTCTGTGGGAGGTTGCTCTGTGTGAGGTTGCTCTGTGGGAGGTTGCTCTGTGTGAGGTTGCTCTGTGTGAGGTTGCTCTGTGTGAGGTTGCTCTGTGGGAGGTTGCTCTGTGGGAGGTTGCTCTGTGTGGGGTTGCTCTGTGTGAGGTTGCTCTGTGTGAGGTTGCTCTGTGTGAGGTTGCTCTGTGGGAGGTTGCTCTGTGTGAGGTTGCTCTGTGTGAGGTTGCTCTGTGGGAGGTTGCTCTGTGTGAGGTTGCTCTGTGGGAGGTTGCTCTGTGTGAGGTTGCTCTGTGTGAGGTTGCTCTGTGTGAGGTTGCTCTGTGTGAGGTTGCTGTGTGTGAGGTTGCTCTGTGTGAGGTTGCTCTGTGGGAGGTTGCTCTGTGTGAGGTTGCTCTGTGTGGGGTTGCTCTGTGTGAGGTTGCTCTGTGTGAGGTTGCTCTGTGTGAGGTTGCTCTGTGTGAGGTTGCTCTGTGGGAGGTTGCTCTGTGGGAGGTTGCTCTGTGTGAGGTTGCTGTGTGGGAGGTTGCTCTGTGGGAGGTTGCTCTGTGTGAGGTTGCTCTGTGTGAGGTTGCTCTGTGTGAGGTTGCTCTGTGGGAGGTTGCTCTGTGTGAGGTTGCTCTGTGTGAGGTTGCTCTGTGGGAGGTTGCTCTGTGTGAGGTTGCTCTGTGGGAGGTTGCTCTGTGTGAGGTTGCTCTGTGTAGGGTTGCTCTGTGTGAGGTTGCTGTGTGTGAGGTTGCTGTGTGTGAGGTTGCTCTGTGGGAGGTTGCTCTGTGGGAGGTTGCTCTGTGTGAGGTTGCTCTGTGTGGGGTTGCTCCGTGTGAGGTTGCTCTGTGTGAGGTTGCTCTGTGGGAGGTTGCTCTGTGGGAGGTTGCTCTGTGTGAGGTTGCGCTGTGGGAGGTTGCTCTGTGTGAGGTTGCTCTGTGTAGGGTTGCTCTGTGTGAGGTTGCTGTGTGTGAGGTTGCTCTGTGTGAGGTTGCTCTGTGGGAGGTTGCTCTGTGTGAGGTTGCTCTGTGGGAGGTTGCTCTGTGTGAGGTTGCTCTGTGTGAGGTTGCTCTGTGTGAGGTTGCTCTGTGTGAGGTTGCTCTGTGTGAGGTTGCTCTGTGTGAGGTTGCTCTGTGGGAGGTTGCTCTGTGTGAGGTTGCTCTGTGGGAGGTTGCTCTGTGTGAGGTTGCTCTGTGTGAGGTTGCTCTGTGTGAGGTTGCTCTGTGGGAGGTTGCTCTGTGTGAGGTTGCTCTGTGTAGGGTTGCTCTGTGTGAGGTTGCTGTGTGTGAGGTTGCTCTGTGTGAGGTTGCTCTGTGTGAGGTTGCTCTGTGGGAGGTTGCTCTGTGTGAGGTTGCTCTGTGTGGGGTTGCTCTGTGTGAGGTTGCTCTGTGTGAGGTTGCTCTGTGTGAGGTTGCTCTGTGTGAGGTTGCTCTGTGGGAGGTTGCTCTGTGTGAGGTTGCTCTGTGTAGGGTTGCTCTGTGTGAGGTTGCTGTGTGTGAGGTTGCTCTGTGTGAGGTTGCTCTGTGGGAGGTTGCTCTGTGGGAGGTTGCTCTGTGTGAGGTTGCTCTGTGTGGGGTTGCTCTGTGTGAGGTTGCTCTGTGGAAGGTTGCTCTGTGGGAGGTTGCTCTGTGTGAGGTTGCTCTGTGGAGGTTGCTCTGTGGGAGGTTGCTCTGTGTGAGGTTGCTCTGTGGGAGGTTGCTCTGTGTGAGGTTGCTCTGTGGAGGTTGGCTCGTGTAGGTGCTCTGTGTGAGGTTGCTCTGTGGGAGGTTTGCTCTGTGTGAGGTTGCTCTGTGGGAGGTTGCTCTGTGTGAGGTTGCTCTGTGTAGGGTTGCTCTGTGTGAGGTTGCTCTGTGTGAGGTTGCTGTGTGTGAGGTTGCTCTGTGTGAGGTTGCTCTGTGTGAGGTTGCTCTGTGTGGGGTTGCTCTGTGTGAGGTTGCTCTGTGTGAGGTTGCTCTGTGTGAGGTTGCTCTGTGTGAGGCATGAGAAGGCTTGCTCTGTGTGAGGTTGCTCTGTGGGAGGTTGCTCTGTGTGAGGTTGCCCCCTCTGTGTGAGGCTGCTCTGGGTGAGGTGTGCGGGGGCTGTGTGAGGTTTGCTTGGGGCTAGTGGGAAGGTTGCTCTGATTGGAGGGTTGCTCTGGTGTGGGTGGGTGGGTTGCTCGTTGAGGGTTTGCTCTGTGTGAGGTTAGCTGCGTCTTGCTGCTACTGTAGGAGAGGTTGGTGATCGTTGGGTATGAGGGGTATATGGCGTCTGTGGGGGGGTGGAGGTGCTTGTGGTGAGGTTGCTGTGGGGGTATTGCGGGGGGTCTGTTGGGATTAGTTGCCTTCTGTGTGAGGTTGTTTGTACTCTTGTGTGGGAGGTTGCTCTTTGCTCATGTATGCTGTGGTTATGGTATTGCCTCATTGGTACAGTAGGGGGGATTGCTATCGTGTTGATCAGGTTTAGCTGTGTGTGAGAAGGTGATAACATTAGGCACGTTTGTGAGAAATTGCATCTTACTGAGTGAAGAGGTCATAGCTAACCGTGGGACGCGTGCACTCTGTGCAGAGTGACGGACAGAGCAAATGACTGCTCTCACGTGTGAGTAGAGTAAGCTCTGAGTGGAAGCGTAGATGTGTTTGTGTGCTCTGATATCTATATAATTGGGTATGAATATATGTGAGTGGGGTGTAGCAATTAAGAATATAGATGGAGGTGTATGTATGTAGTATGGGGAATAAATGTACATGATAGTTGCATTCAGAACTACTGGTGGGGATATATTAGAAAGTTATGGATGAGGGCGAAGAGAATATCATGGGGTAAGAATGACGAGATCATGTGAGATAAGACCCATTGTGTGGATAATTTTCAGCTATGATAAATGATTAGGACGACTTGCAAAAGGATGCTCTTGTGAGGTTGCGCAGTGGGAGGTTGCACTGTGTGAGTTGCTCTGTGTGATTTGCTCTGTGTAGGGTGCTCTGTGTGAGGTTGCTGTGTGTGAGGTTGCTCTGTTGGAGGTTGCTCTGTGTGAGGTTCTCTGAGTGAGGTTGCTCTGTGTGAGGTTTGCTCTGTTGGGAGTTGCTCTGTGGGAGGTTGCTCCTGTGTGGGGTTTGCTCTGTGTGAGGTTGCCTGTGTGAGGTTGCCTGTGTGAGGTGTATGCCTCTGTGGGAGGTAGCTCTGTGTGAGTGTTCTGTGGGAGGTTGCTCTGTGTAGGTTGCTCTGTGGGAGTTGCCTCTGTGTGAGGTTGCTCTTGAGTTGCTCTGTGGGAGGTTATGCTCTGTGTGAGGTTGCCTGTGGGAGGTTGCTCTGTGTGAGGTTTGCTCTGGTAGGGTTGCTCTGTTGAGGTTGCTGTGTGTATGTTGCCTGGTGGTAGGTTGCTCTGTGGAGGTTGATCTGTGGGAGGTTGCTCTGTGTGAGGTTGCTCTGTGTGAGGTTGCTGTGTGTAGGTTCTCTGTGGGAGGTTGCCCTCTGTGTGAGGGTATGTTTTTGTACGACTTTCCATTTATGGCGGCTCCTGTGTGAAGGTTGCTCTGTGTGAAGGTGTGCCGGAGGGGGCATCGGGGGCTGGGGGGTTTTCTCTTTTCGGTGGCTGGAGGTATGGGGGGGGGGGGGGGGGGGGGGGGGGGGGGGGGGGGGGGGGGGGGGGGGGGGGGGGGGGGGGGGGGGGGGGGGGGGGGGGGGGGGGGGGGGGGGGGGGGGGGTTGGGGTGGTGGGGTGATATAGTGGTGACATGGGGGGATTGTATGGTATTTTTTCGGACAGTTATATTGATTATTTCACAGCACAATATATTGTGCCTAATGAGGTATAAAGGTAGGGCGGTGAGGGTGTGTGGGTAATACAAAATCTTTTGGGGGGACGACGGGGTAATGTGTGGAAACTGCGGATAGGCGGGGGTTAGGGGGGGGCAGCAGGGCTTAACTCTTCGAGTACTGGAAAGGTAACTTGCACTGCCTACTCCAAGCAAGTCGATGTGGATAACAGGCGCTATCGAGGGTCACCCCTGAGGTATGGGGGGGTGTGGGCTGGGGTGCTGGGGGGGGATTTGTCGGGCGGGGGGCTGTGGGGGTATCTTTCTGCAGTTGGGCGGTGGGTGGCGCGTGCTGGTGGGGGGGGCGGGCGGGGCGGGGTGGTGGTGGGGGTGGCGGGAGTGTGGCGGGGGGTGTCGTAGAGGGCGGGGGACCGTGGGGGCGGGTGGGGGGGGGGGGTCTGTGGTGGGGGGGGCTGGGGTGGGTGGGTATGTGGGGGGGGGCGGGGGGGAGTTGAGTTGGGGCGGGCGGTGGGGGGGGTTGTGGGAGTGGGGGGGGGGTGGGGGGGGGGGAGGTTGGGGGGGCCGGGGGGGGAGGGGGGGTGGGGGGTGGGGGGGGGGGTGTGTGGTGTTGGGGCGGGGTGGGTGGGAGGGGGTCTGGTTGGAGGAACAAAAGAGAGAGGAAAAAAGTACAGCGGGATGGGGGGTGCAGGGGGGAGGGAGTGGGAGGGGAGGGGGTCAAGGGTGGGTGCGCGGAGTGTTGGGAGGAGAGGGGGGGGGCGGCGGAGGGGGGGGGGGGGGGGGGCGATGGGGGGGGGGACACGGGGAGGGGCGGAGGGGCGGGGGGGGGGGGGGGGGGGGGGGGGGGGGGGGGGGTGGAGGGGGGGGGATCGGGTGGTTCGGGGGGGGGGGGGTGGGCGCTGGGGCATTGCTCCATCAAACGTACCTAAGCACCCAACGGGGATCGGATAAGAATCGTACAATCAAAAAGGATTGTTCATCGAGGGATCGGGGATAAACATAACCTCAGAATCATTCCGATGTGACAACACTCAAAAAGGGGGCGACAAGGGGGGGGGGGGCGGCGGGCGAGGGGGGGGGCGTGGCGGCGGGCAAGTGGGGGGAGGGGCGCTTGGGGGTGAGGGGGGGGCGGGGGGGCGTGGGGGGGGTAGGGGGGGGGGTGGGGGGGGGGGGGCGGGGGGGGGTGGGGGGGGGGGGGGGGGGGGGGGGGGGGGGGGGGGGGGGGGGTGGGTTGGGGTGGGGGGGGGGGTGGGGGGGGGCGAGGGGGGGGGGGGGGGGGTGAGGGGGGGGGGGGGGGGGTGGGGGGGGGGGTTGGGGGCAGGGTCTAGGTGGGGTGTTGTGGTTTTGTGTGATTTTAGTAATTGATTGGGGTGGTGGGGTTTTCGTGGGGTGTGGTGGTTTTTGTGGGATGAGGTAAATATAGATGGTAATAGTAAAAAGGATGAGAATCGCGATATAATCCCCGGCAGACCAGCGTAACCCCTGCAAGTAGCACGTACCCCTCAGAGCAGCCGTACCCAACAGAACAGCAAATACCCCGTCAGAGCACATACCCCGTCAGACCAGCAGTACCCCGTCAAAGCAGCGCGTACACCCGACAAGCTGAAGTACCCCTCTTCAGTCAGCAGAGTAAGCCCCCGTCAAGAGCTGCAGACCCCTCGCAGTATGGCAGACGTAACCCCGTCTGAGCAGCGTACGTCCCCGACAGACCCACGGACCCCGTCCAGTACAAGTCGCTCAATCCCCGTCAGACCAGCGTCATCACCCGTCAGACCAGCCAGTAACCCCGTCAAACCAGCCGTACACCCGTGCTGAGCCAGGCCTGTACCCCGCCTGTCCACGTACCCCTCAGAGCACAGCGTACCCCTCGTCAGCGTACCCCCGTCAGAGCAGCGGACCCCGTCACGAGCACGTACCCCGTCTAACACCAGCGCTAACCCCGCTCATGTAGCAGCGTTCAGAGCTGCGTACCCCGTCAGACGCAGCGGTACCACCGTCATGCGCAGTTACCCCGTCAGAGCACGTACCCCGTCAGAGCAGCGTAACCCCGTCAGACAGTCGTAACCACCGGCAGACAAGCAGGCTAACCCGTCAGAGCAGCTACACCATAAGACGCAGCGTAGACCCCGTCAGAAGCAGCGTACCCCTACAGACACAGCGTACCCCGATCAGCAGGCAGCGTACCCGTCAGCAACCCCAAGTCTACCTCCGTCAGAGCACGTTCTCCCTAATGGTGACTAGCGCTCAGTGTAGTCAGTCCACAAGCTCAATGTTGTAGGTTGCTCAGTTGATGACCCACATCAGGACCATAGCAACTAACAGTTTCGCTCGTGTCAGGAGACGGTCTGGCTCATGCTGATGAGTTGCATCTGTGTGAGTGTTGCTCTGTGTGAGGTTGCTGATGTGTAGGTTGCTGTGCGTGAGGTTGCTCTGTGGGAGTTGCATCTGTGTGCAGGTCTTGCTCCTGTGTGAGGTTGCTTCTATCTCTCGCTGAGGTTTACGCGCTTTTCTCTCTGGGAGTGTTGCTCTGTATGTAGAGGTTGCTCTGTGTGAGGTTGCTCTGTGTGAGGTTGCTCTGTGTGAGGTTGCTCTGTGGGAGGTTGCTCTGTGTGAGGTTGCTCTGTGGGAGGTTGCTCTGTGTGAGGTTGTTCTGTGGGAGGTTGCTCTGTGTGAGGTTGCTCTGTGGGAGGTTGCTCTGTGTGAGGTTGCTCTGTGGGAGGTTGCTCTGTGGGAGGTTGGTCTGTGTGAGGTTGCTCTGTGGGAGGTTGCTCTGTGTGAGGTTGCTCTGTGTAGGGTTGCTCTGTGTGAGGTTGCTGTGTGTGAGGTTGCTGTGTGTGAGGTTGCTCTGTGGGAGGTTGCTCTGTGGGAGGTTGCTCTGTGTGAGGTTGCTCTGTGTAGGGTTGCTCTGTGTGAGGTTGCTGTGTGTGAGGTTGCTGTGTGTGAGGTTGCTCTGTGGGAGGTTGCTCTGTGGGAGGTTGCTCTGTGTGAGGTTGCTCTGTGTGAGGTTGCTCTGTGTGAGGTTGCTCTGTGGGAGGTTGCTCTGTGTGAGGTTGCTCTGTGTGATGTTGCTCTGTGGGAGGTTGCTCTGTCTGAGGTTGCTCTGTGGGAGGTTGCTCTGTGTGAGGTTGCTCTGTGTGAGGTTGCTCTGTGTGGGGGTTGCTCTGTGTGAGGTTGCTCTGTGTGAGGTTGCTCTGTGTGAGGTTGCTGTGTGTGAGGTTGCTCTGTGTGAGGTTGCTCTGTGGGAGGTTGCTCTGTGTGAGGTTGCTCTGTGTGAGGTTGCTCTGTGTGAGGTTGCTCTGTGGGAGGTTGCTCTGTGTGAGGTTGCTCTGTGTGAGGTTGCTCTGTGGGAGGTTGCTCTGTGTGAGGTTGCTCTGTGTGAGGTTGCTCTGTGTGAGGTTGCTCTGTGGGAGGTTGCTCTGTGTGAGGTTGCTCTGTGTGAGGTTGCTCTGTGGGAGGTTGCTCTGTGTGAGGTTGTTCTGTGGGAGGTTGCTCTGTGTGAGGTTGCTCTGTGGGAGGTTGCTCTGTGTGAGGTTGCTCTGTGGGAGGTTGCTCTGTGGGAGGTTGGTCTGTGTGAGGTTGCTCTGTGGGAGGTTGCTCTGTGTGAGGTTGCTCTGTGTAGGGTTGCTCTGTGTGAGGTTGCTGTGTGTGAGGTTGCTGTGTGTGAGGTTGCTCTGTGGGAGGTTGCTCTGTGGGAGGTTGCTCTGTGTGAGGTTGCTCTGTGTAGGGTTGCTCTGTGTGAGGTTGCTGTGTGTGAGGTTGCTGTGTGTGAGGTTGCTCTGTGGGAGGTTGCTCTGTGGGAGGTTGCTCTGTGTGAGGTTGCTCTGTGTGGGGTTGCTCTGTGTGAGGTTGCTCTGTGGGAGGTTGCTCTGTGGGAGGTTGCTCTGTGTGAGGTTGCTCTGTGTGATGTTGCTCTGTGGGAGGTTGCTCTGTGTGAGGTTGCTCTGTGTGAGGTTGCTCTGTGTGAGGTTGCTCTGTGTGAGGTTGCTCTGTGGGAGGTTGCTCTGTTGGAGGTTGCTCTGTGTGAGGTTGCTCTGTGGGAGGTTGCTCTGTGTGAGGTTGCTCTGTGTGAGGTTGCTCTGTGTGGGGTTGCTCTGTGTGAGGTTGCTCTGTGTGAGGTTGCTCTGTGTGATGTTGCTCTGTGGGAGGTTGCTCTGTGTGAGGTTGCTCTGTGGGAGGTTGCTCTGTGTGGGGTTGCTCTGTGTGAGGTTGCTCTGTGTGAGGTTGCTCTGTGTGAGGTTGCTCTGTGTGAGGTTGCTCTGTGTGAGGTTGCTCTGTGTGAGGTTGCTCTGTGGGAGGTTGCTCTGTGGGAGGTTGCTCTGTGTGAGGTTGCGCTGTGGGAGGTTGCTCTGTGTGAGGTTGCTCTGTGTAGGGTTGCTCTGTGTGAGGTTGCTGTGTGTGAGGTTGCTGTGTGTGAGGTTGCTCTGTGGGAGGTTGCTCTGTGTGAGGTTGCTCTGTGTGAGGTTGCTCTGTGTGAGGTTGCTCTGTGGGAGGTTGCTCTGTGTGAGGTTGCTCTGTGTGAGGTTGCTCTGTGGGAGGTTGCTCTGTGGGAGGTTGCTCTGTGTGGGGTTGCTCTGTGTGAGGTTGCTCTGTGTGAGGTTGCTCTGTGTGAGGTTGCTCTGTGGGAGGTTGCTCTGTGTGAGGTTGCTCTGTGGGAGGTTGCTCTGTGTGAGGTTGTTCTGCGGGAGGTTGCTCTGTGTGAGGTTGCTCTGTGGGAGGTTGCTCTGTGTGAGGTTGCTCTGTGGGAGGTTGCTCTGTGGGAGCTTGCTCTGTGTGAGGTTGCTCTGTGGGAGGTTGCTCTGTGTGAGGTTGCTCTGTGTAGGGTTGCTCTGTGTGAGGTTGCTGTGTGTGAGGTTGCTGTGTGTGAGGTTGCTCTGTGGGAGGTTGCTCTGTGGGAGGTTGCTCTGTGTGAGGTTGCTCTGTGTGGGGTTGCTCTGTGTGAGGTTGCTGTGTGTGAGGTTGCTGTGTGTGAGGTTGCTCTGTGTGAGGTTGCTCTGTGTGAGGTTGCTCTGTGTGAGGTTGCTCTGTGGGAGGTTGCTCTGTGTGAGGTTGCTCTGTGTGAGGTTGCTCTGTGTGAGGTTGCTCTGTGGGAGGTTGCTCTGTGTGAGGTTGCTCTGTGTGAGGTTGCTGTGTGTGAGGTTGCTTTGTGTGAGGTTGCTCTGTGTGAGGTTGCTCTGTGTGAGGTTGCTCTGTGTGAGGTTGCTCTGTGGGAGGTTGCTCTGTGTGAGGTTGCTCTGTGTGAGGTTGCTCTGTGTGAGGTTGCTCTGTGGGAGGTTGCTCTGTGTGGGGTTGCTCTGTGTGAGGTTGCTCTGTGTGAGGTTGCTCTGTGTGAGGTTGCTCTGTGTGAGGTTGCTCTGTGGGAGGTTGCTCTGTGTGAGGTTGCTCTGTGGGAGGTTGCTCTGTGGGAGGTTGCTCTGTGTGAGGTTGCTCTGTGGGAGGTTGCTCTGTGTGAGGTTGCTCTGTGTAGGGTTGCTCTGTGTGAGGTTGCTGTGTGTGAGGTTGCTGTGTGTGAGGTTGCTCTGTGGGAGGTTGCTCTGTGGGAGGTTGCTCTGTGTGAGGTTGCTCTGTGTGGGGTTGCTCTGTGTGAGGTTGCTCTGTGGGAGGTTGCTCTGTGGGAGGTTGCTCTGTGTGAGGTTGCTCTGTGGGAGGTTGCTCTGTGTGAGGTTGCTCTGTGTAGGGTTGCTCTGTGTGAGGTTGCTGTGTGTGAGGTTGCTGTGTGTGAGGTTGCTCTGTGGGAGGTTGCTCTGTGGGAGGTTGCTCTGTGTGAGGTTGCTCTGTGTGGGGTTGCTCTGTGTGAGGTTGCTCTGTGGGAGGTTGCTCTGTGGGAGGTTGCTCTGTGTGAGGTTGCTCTGTGGGAGGTTGCTCTGTGTGAGGTTGCTCTGTGGGAGGTTGCTCTGTGTGAGGTTGCTCTGTGTGAGGTTGCTCTGTGGGAGGTTGCTCTGTGTGAGGTTGCTCTGTGGGAGGTTGCTCTGTGTGAGGTTGCTCTGTGTAGGGTTGCTCTGTGTGAGGTTGCTCTGTGTGAGGTTGCTCTGTGTGGGGTTGCTCTGTGTGAGGTTGCTCTGTGTGGGGTTGCTCTTTGTGAGGTTGCTCTGTGTGAGGCTGCTCTGTGTGAGGTTGCTCTGTGTGAGGTTGCTCTGTGTGAGGTTGCTCTGTGTGAGGCTGCTCTGTGTGAGGTTGCTCTGTGTGAGGTTGCTCTGTGTGAGGTTGCTCTGTGTGGGGTTGCTCTGTGTGAGGTTGCTCTGTGTGAGGTTGCTCTGTGTGAGGTTGCTCTGTGTGGGGTTGCTCTGTGTGAGGTTGCTCTGTGTGAGGTTGCTCTGTGTGGGGTTGCTCTGTGTGAGGTTGCTCTGTGTGGGGTTGCTCTGTGTGAGGTTGCTCTGTGTGAGGTTGCTCTGTGGGAGGTTGCTCTGTGGGAGGTTGCTCTGTGTGAGGTTGCTCTGTGTGAGGTTGCTCTGTGTGGGGTTGCTCTGTGTGAGGTTGCTCTGTGTGAGGTTGCTCTGTGTGAGGCTGCTCTGTGTGAGGTTGCTCTGTGTGGGGTTGCTCTGTGTGAGGCTGCTCTGTGTGAGGTTGCTCTGTGTGAGGTTGCTCTGTGTGAGGTTGCTCTGTGTGAGGTTGCTCTGTGTGGGGTTGCTCTGTGTGAGGTTGCTCTGTGTGAGGTTGCTCTGTGTGGGGTTGCTCTGTGTGAGGTTGCTCTGTGTGAGGTTGCTCTGTGTGAGGTTGCTCTGTGTGAGGTTGCTCTGTGTGAGGTTGCTCTGTGTGAGGTTGCTCTGTGTGAGGTTGCTCTGTGTGGGGTTGCTCTGTGTGAGGTTGCTCTGTGTGAGGTTGCTCTGTGTGAGGCTGCTCTGTGTGAGGTTGCTCTGTGTGAGGTTGCTCTGTGTGGGGTTGCTCTGTGTGAGGTTGCTCTGTGTGGGGTTGCTCTGTGTGAGGTTGCTCTGTGTGAGGCTGCTCTGTGTGAGGTTGCTCTGTGTGGGGTTGCTCTGTGTGAGGTTGCTCTGTGGAGGTTGCTCCTTATTGAATGGACCTTCAGTTATCTTTACCTACTAAATATTTCTCACCTAGCTTTTCATGATCATACCTGCACGGAGCAAAGAAACAGCTTCATTGAGCAACATTCTTTTCCACGTTTCTCAGCCCCTTCACTAAATATGTTTCCTGCAGCCTGAGCCGGTCGCCATGGTGAGTGGTGGCTACCTCCTGGTGGCTGTTTGCGGGGGTCTGGGTTTCCTTGCCTGTTCGGGCCCCCTGCTGTGGATGTGTCCTGGGTCCTGCCCTGTGTCTGCTGGGTGCTTCCCATGAGGCTCTTCTATTGGGGGAAGAACCTTTGCATGAATTCTGGGTCCTGGATGGGCGGGTCTGAGGCCCCTCACATCCACTGCTGAACAGTCTCTTGAAGAAACCCTTCTATACGGAGTGTGTTCACACAGTCAGGTATCTTTAGACACACATTTGTTCGGCGGGGTTTGAACTAAATGCATCTTAATTAGTTCACTTTATTTTAAGTAGTGCTAAAGCTGGGCATACAATGTGCAATATTTCAATCGTTGCACGCAGCTACAACTCAAGCTGTACATTAAAATCAGAGTTTAAAAGTTCACGATGTTTGTTCTCACACTGTGCGACCCAACGATCTGATGCGATCTACCTGCTAGCACTGTAGGTCTAAAACCACATCAGCTCTGAGAGATGGCGCTGGACACGCGCAGTGCTGGAGGTTCTGGTAAATCGGGTCGTAGCTCCGCTTCAACAGCAGGATTTGCCCACCAACACCTCACCACAGCCGCCTGAACTTCAAACATGTTTGATTTTGTCCTGACCTTCAGATTCCCGATCAGGAGGTGGTGGTTAGAGGCTGATCGTTACCCCCTAGCTACACAGCGCAGGACGCACGATTATGCTGAAACTCGACCCCATGGAAAGAATTCTTGCACCACCCGAAAAGGGCAAAAATAACGGTACAGTGTATGTCTGGCTTTAGGAAAGTAAATCTGAAGGTTCTTCTCCATGGCATTCAGAAAACCCTTCATAGAGCTTCGCTGCTGGACAGTAAAAATAAAAACAGGATGTCAGCGTTTCTTTTCCTCCTGTTTGTGTCGCCAACTGATCTGGACTCAGAAGATTCAGAGGTGGAGGAAATCCGGTGCTTTGAGTTAATTAGCTGATGAGGCTGACAGAGCCGAATATTAAGATTTATTCAAATTTCAAATTAAAAGAAAAAAACAATAATTTCACTGCATGTAGTTTATGATAGAAGGTGGGGGGGTCGACATACAAACAAGGTTTATACAGAAATTAGTAACTCTAATTTAATACTTCTTAATGCGCTTGGAAATTATTAATGCCATTAACAAGTAACCATGACGATAGACTAAAATAATGATAAAAATATAAATATTGCTGTATTCTAAAGTGCCTTGAGATGTTAAACCAGCACTGAAAATGAAACAGAACTTAGCTGGAAATATCTGAAATCAGTAGATACTAAAACACATGCTGCAAAAATGACTGAAAGGCAAACGCCAGCGAACATGGGACAGATCGTACAGAGGATGCACTTTTATTTTTAGAAAGATGATTGATGACGGCCTCTCAGTTGGTTCCAGTTCTGACATCTCTCCTAGAGTATCACATTTTCTAAGCACATGAGCCAGAAGTGAGCTATTTATTTTCCACAGGTGAAAGATTGGGGTATTTCTGAATCTGGAAAGATTGCCTGGACCAATTCAGATCCACCGTCATCAGCAGCGGACGGGTGTTGCTGCACGGCGGGCGATGATCAGACACCAGAGAACCTCCTCATGCTGCGTTGCATTGGATCCAAATATTGTTTGAAGACAGCCTGATTTTCTGACGTTTAGTGGCGTTTGCTCCAGGTGCCGTTTGTGGTGGTAGCTACTGCGGACGGGACTGCATTGGTTGGACATTGTAAACTCTCATGCAGCTGAGATTGTAAAGCATCGACACCCGTCGTGCAAAGCTTCTTTTTTTTCCACACATTGTGACTTTCCAACCAACGGGAAGCAGTTCTGCATGTTAGCGTGGAACCAGTTATATCTGGTAGAACATGTCTGTCCAAACTATTTTACAAACATATTTCTTTAAAAAAATGAAAATATTTTTAATGCTACTGATAATCCCATTTAATGAATTTTAATGCCATTTAATGCCTTCATTTTAAAAACTATGATTTAATGAGTTTTAATGCTTTTTAAGGTCCAACTGAAACCCTGAAAAATTCAAACTGTAGGAACGTTCAAAGTTGAGGCCAGGTTTAGAGTTAGAGTTAGGATTAACCCTGAAAAAGGCTGAATGACGGCGGGAACATGGCTCCTTCCAGCGGCTCCGCTTTGAGCAGAACCTCCAGATTAAACCAATGAGGGATAATAAAGATGTCCAGTTTATTCTGCTGCTGAGTAACTAATAAATCAGGCCCAGCTGATATCTGATGAAGGACAGAGCTGACTTCTTAAGGTCACAGAAAGACGCTTCTACTGCCTCCGACCACCAAACCGTGGCTTCAATATAAAGCATTTATTTCTGATACAAACATCCATTCTGTGACCCAGAGGCCGGTTCACATCCACAGCTGGGAATGATAAGACACCAAATCAACAGGAATGGTGGGAATGTAGATCTTCTCTTCCTTCCATACTCTTCAGACTATAGAAGAAAACATTTTCATTAAAGATGGACGGAGCTGCAGAGCCACAGGAAGGTGAAGTAAAGGTCTGCTGGAGCTCAGCGCTGATCATGTGGTGGCGAACAGAGTGAGCAGTCCTTTGACAAATGAAATGATCTCATTCCCTCCCAGTTTGGACTCTCCGTAAACTCGATCCACAAAGGAAATGGGCACCTGGGAGAGACACAAAGATTTAGTTTGAGGAGAAATCACAAAGTTAGCTCAAATACAAGCGGTTGCCATGACGACGGTTTTAAACAGATGCTGAAGCCAGAGGACATACGAACATATGCTAAATACTTTTCAAATAAATTCAAATGAAATTACATGGCAACAATAATGGTAATGCTGCATTATATACAGTAGAACTGAAACAATCAGATTATTGAAATAATCATCAACTAATCGATTAAATGTTAACTGGAGTAAAGAGAGTCTAAAAGACGCTTTAAGCTGACAGTGACCCACTTACAGCAGAATAGCATTAGAATATAGAAACATTTTGCATTTAAAGGTCAAACAGAAAGGAGTGCGTCTAGAGCGGTTTGATGCTGTGTGACGGTAGATTATCCTCCTTTACTCCATGTGGTTAGGCTAAATCACGCCTCTAGCGACCCCCAGCTGTGAGGTCAGTGGAGCCAAACTCTCACAGCAGCAGTTGGATTGAATACAGCAAAAAGTTCCAACGGATTGTTTTGCTTCACATATAAAGCCTTAAATGGCCAAGCTCCATCTGATATCAGAGATCTGATTGTTCCTGATGTTCCTAACAGAGCACTTCGCTCTCAATCTGCAGGTTTACTAGTGGTTCCTAGAATTTCTAAAAGTAGAATGGGAGGCAGATCTTTTAGTTCTCAGGCTCCTCTCCTGTGGAACCAACTACCAGTTTTAGTCCGTGAGGCAGACACCCTGTCTACTTTTAAGGCTAGGCTTAAAACTTTCCTTTTTGATAAAGCTTCTAATTAGAGTGGCTCAGGTTATCCTGATCTATCTCTATAGTTCTGCTGCTATAGGCTTAGACTGCTGGAGGACATAGGGACCCCTTTTTCATCATTCTGCTTCATTCTATCTCTATTCTCCCACTCTGCAGAATCTGTTAGTTCAATCTCTAACGTTCTGCTCTCTCTGCTTTTTCTCATAGTAGCTTCATCTGGTCTGTTCCTGTTCCAGCTCCGCAGTGAGATGGCGCTACTGGGACTCGTCTATCTGGAAGCCAAACTAGTAGCAGAGGAACATGAAGCTCACTAGAGTGAAACGCGCTGCCAATTTAGTGCTGAAAGCCCTAAAAAGAAAAGGAGACGACGTATTTGGACAAAGACATGGCTGAGCTAACGTGGCTACTACGGTCTGTCAGTTTGACAGAAAGAACTCATTGCCCCCCCGCCATGCTGCTGGGTTTTCCTCTGAGAGGAAGAAGAAGAAGAATCCTTGTTTGGCCACTGAGCGATTTGCCCTCGACCACCTTACGATGGCCGACTGAACTTCAGACATGTTTGATTTTTCTCCCGACCTTCTGATTCCAGATGGGGGGGTGGTCTTTAGCGGCTGACCGCCCCTCGTTACCCCCTGTACAGCTACACCACGCACCATCAGGCTGAAAGTCGGCCCCATCGAAAAATTCTCGCATGACTGGAAAAATCGGCCCAAAAAAGGGCAAAAAGATCGTACAATGTAGGCCCGGCTTAAGACTCCAGCAGCTGGTTTGGATCAGAGCGGGAACAGTTCAGTTAATAGTGTGTTGCACCGATATAAAAATGGCAGCAGTAGTTAATCGCTTTTCTAAAATGTTCAGGGGAGGCGCCGCATTGGCCCAGCGCCTCCTGGTGGTGGAAGTCTGCATCAGTCTGAGGATGATGAACAAAGCCTGGAATAACCCGACAGTCTGGAGCCAAGCAGACCTGCAGCTCCATGAACTGGAAACTTCTGGATGAATGAATTCACTAACGTTCACTGGTTTGACATTTAACCAATATTTGTGGGTTTTTGTTAGTGCTGATAAAGAAGTGAAAAGGCTTTCTCTGGATCCCGTTAGGAATCCAACATCCAGGAGGCCAGGGTGGGAACATCTGTCACCTCTCCGATGGTGTAGTTGAGCTGTCTGGCTCGGACAATCATCTCCATCTGGAAGACGTAGCCTTTGGACACACACCGTTCCACCAGACTCTCCAGAACCTTCTTCTTGTAGAGCCTGATGAGTGAGACAGAGAAACACTCTGGTTGGTCCCGTTTTCAGAGCGCAGCTCCGACCTGGCAGGCTGCTCACCTGAAGCTCCCGGTGAGGTCTGAGGCCCCGGGCCGCAGCAGCACCTGCGTCAGGAAGTTGGCCCCTCGGCTGGATGCAGGACAGACAAAGCAGACGGAACATCAAGCGGACGAAGACCTTCAATCGATCAGGAAGGGGGGTGGGGGGGGGGGGGGGGGGGGGCGTTACCTGATGAGTTTCCGGCGCAGGTCCCAGCCGTAAACGCCGCCATCACCTTGGTAACGCGTGCCAGATACCAGGTCATAATCCCCCTCCTTCTGCTTCCTGAGGAGACATTTTATAAAGACACTGAAACTTCTTCTACTTAACCTGCAGTGAAAACCAGAAGTTTCCATACGCTGCGTTAAAGGAAACCACCTGACATGACATCAGAGCAGACTTCCTGTTTTAGATCAGCCTCTTTTGGTCAAAGGTCAGGGCTAGCACATGGGGAACATTTTCATTTCTGTCTCCACATCTGGTAGCAGATCCTTCAGTCTGGCTGATTCCTGTTAAATTAGGATTCTTTCTATGTGACGTTGATCTAATGAGGAGTTTATTAGGATGGACCGACAGCTGGCAGAGACCAAGATGACAAAGAGCGCCACCTTGTGGTCACAGCGGCTGTGTGCAGCCAAACAAATGTGAGGAAATTAGGTTTTATAGAGCTGGAGGAAGCATCAGGTATTATCTGTTAGCTCTTAGCTTCTGTAACAGCAAAACATTTTACTTAATTATAGATAAGTTCCTGTATCTATGCTTCTTTTTCTATGTCTGCTTCTGTCTCCTTGAACCCCAGTGGGCCTCAGCAGATGGCCGCTCACACTGAGCCTGGTTCTGCTGGAGGTTTCTTCCTGTTCAAAGGGAGTTTTTCCTCTCCACTGTCGCTACAAGCATGCTTAGTGTGAGGGATTGCTGAAGAGTCAATGAGTCGATGCAATCAGCTGGTTTTCCTTAGATAGAAAACTTTTAATCAATCTGACTGGATGATCTGGTGAACTGGAAAGTGACCTGAGATGACATGATGTGAATTGGAGCTATAGAAATAAACTGAATAGAACTGAACAGATAAAACGATTAGATTGGCCACTGAATATAATCTATGAATGTTGCACTGATCCATGGTGGAACTGGTTTAACTGTTTCTTTGCAAGCAGGAGGAATTGCTGGGAGGTTTATAAATTCACAAAGTCCTGAAAAAGCATCCTGCCAGAAGCCTGCAGATCTTTTGGACTCGATGCAGAAACGTTTCGGACCAATCAAATGCAGTAACGTGTATGACGTCACAAAACAAACATGGCTGCAGCGTTTTTAGCTGGAATGGCGTCTAATTCTTCACAAAGCGACGATATATGTGCCTTTGTGGATGGAGAGAAGTTTGTTTGGTAAGAGTTTGATTTATTAGTTAGCTCTAGTGAAACAAGCTGCTACGGCTGCTGTGATTGGCTGAAAGCTTGACGTGGGAGGCAGGTACCCAATCAGCTCGAAGAACTGCACTGGATGTCCCTGCCTTTTCTCAACCTTTCCAGGTGGAAACGTGTTATTGAATTAGAACAGGAAACAGCATCCATCTGGCTTATGGCAGCTTAGTTTAACTAATCCTAACCGGAGACTTAAGTCTGACTTAATGACTGACAATGAAAACAGAAATAGGAACTTCTGCTGTGTCTCTTTACTGCACTTTACTTTTATTTCATAAAGCAAACCAACATTTCAGAGGTACTTACCTTATAAACTGAGGGATGAACTTGGGCTGAAAGCAAAAGTAACAGAATCATGAAACATTATCAGACAAGGAATAAATAAATTCAATGAAATCTGATTTTAGTTGAGAAAAAGTCTTCTTGCATGAGCGATCGAGGCCCTCAGGGGCCAGCGGAGATCTTCCACTCACATGGTGGGAGAGATCAGCATCCATGATGATGATGAAGTTCCCGCTGGCGTGCCCCATGCCGTGAATGTAGGCGGTGCCTAGAGAGCCCACAGGACGCCATCAGTAAACGGTAACGGTTAGTCAGCAACCGCAGCATTTTCTAGAAACTTACCAAGGCCTAGTTTTTTGGCTCTTGGTCGAAGAAGCTGGAGAAATAATTGATTAATAAATATCATAATTCATACGTCCGTCTGTAGCACAGAATCAAAGTTATTTATCCAGTAACTAACAAATACAGCCTAAAACGCTGCCAGAAACATGCTTTTACCGTTAATAATTCATGTTTGTCATCAGACTAGCATGCTGGTGAAGATTCCCAGTCATCCAGGTCATAGTCAGTTAAAAAAATCAATCCTCTGGACTTTGTTTCCCAAATTGAAGACGTTTCTCTTCCATCCAGGAAGCTTTTTCAGTTCAAAATGTCGGGAATAGCATTGAGTTCCAGGCTATATGGTTCAATATAGCCTGGAACTCAACGTTAATCCAGCAAACATCTTCAAACTTGAAACAAAGTCCAGTGGATTGTTTTTAACTTCCAGACCAGCAGGATCACTACGGATGGTTTTAAACTTACTATTTTATCTTTGCCATAAATGTTCTGCAGCTGCTCCGCCACCTCCAGCGTCCCATCTGGGCTTCCGTCATCGATCACGATGATCTCATAGTTAAATCCACTGCAGAGGAACAGGTGATCGATCAGTTATTATGGTTAACATGGGGCTGCTAGTTCAGGCTCGACCTTTGATCTGGAAATAAGATGGCTGCAGCTGAAACTCCCTGGATTATCTAAGCAACCAGAAAAGACGGTTGTCTTAAACTCCAGAGGCCCGTTTAACAAACTGAGACTCACATCATCAACACGGAGTTCTTGGTTTCAGAAAAGCTGCTGTGATTTCCTTCAATCATCTCTGAGGAGATCCACTCAGAGATGAACGCCTGCGTAACACGTATAAAAGCCATTATTAGTGGAGCGCCGATTTGAGGAGTCACCATGGCAACAGGCACAGCCTATTTCACCCCAACAGAACTAGAAATTATAACAGAATAAAAAATATTGGAGAAAACGTTGAAAAGACAGAATAACAGCAGCAAAGGAGAGAGAGATGAATGAGGAGATTGCTGCTGGAGTTAATAGTAAGATTATATATGGTCCCCTATGGCAGGCCGTTTTTACATTTATTAACACTCTCCTCTGTGTTCTTCCTTTGTAGATCATTAAAATAGATCCTTCCTGATCAAAATCCCACTTCTAGTCTGAACTGTTATAAGAGATTCCCTTCATTTATTTTTTTGCTGCAGAAACTGAATTTCAGAAATAAAAAAAAATAAAAAATGAACCAAGTTTTATATGTTGAAAAATGTTTACACATGTTGAGACACTGTTCTGACATTCATCAGCTCGACTGAATATTTATTTATGATTTCTGAAATACATTTCTCCTCAAAATAACAAAAATATGGCCGGTAGCAAAAGGAATATGGAGATCTGACATTCACATCCAGAATGTTAATTTTAGATGCTAAGAATGACCTTTTCTTTTAAATGGTCATTTTGACGAGACAAAAAAATATATATTCATATTCAGTCAAAATAATACATATCAAGACGGCTTGCCGTAGCCTGTTGATAAGATTAGGGATTTATTTCTTAAATGGTAGCAGATCGATGTATTTATTTAGGGGCCATCACCGGGCAGCAGATGAAGATAAAGTAGAACCTGTTCATCATCTCATGGGTTCCTCCTCATGTTCATCCCGTCTCCCATCATTTATTTCATCTAAAGGACTTGATATGTTTTAGTTTTTCCACCTAATAAAGTCTGCTGACAGAATCAGGAAGTAAACAACATGATTGGCTTTAAAAGAGGGCGGAGCCAGAGGACACAGGCTGTTCACTAACATCCGCTCTAACTCCGACCCCCTCAGTCACCATATAGAGCTTGGACTATAGAGTGAACTTCACAATGAACTCTGACTGTTCAGACATCACTACTTTTCACGCCCCGTTGGTCACATGACTCTGCCTCTGTTCTTTCTCACCACAAAACACATCCCTTGATGCTTTGCGAGGAGAGCTCTGGCAAAGCATTATGGGATATATGTGCTCATCTAGTGACCATGGATGATCACTAGTATTCAAGGTGCATTGTGGGAAATTTAGATTCCACTAATATTTCATCCACTAGATGTTCAGACAGCCTGAGTTTATGGAGGGAAACCTGCTGCTGACCAGGTTAGCTCTGGGAGGATGTTACCATGGTAACAGACAGGGGCTGAGGA